TGTGCTGCTGCGCGCGAGGGCACCAGCATGTGGCATCTAACACGGGTGCGCCAGATGCACGTACAGTGCCGTTTTTAATACATGCTCCGCGTGCGGATCTTGTATTAAAAACGCGGGGATTTAGTATTAAAAACAACAATGGGTTCATGCCTAAATTTATTCATAAATCAATCATGTATTAAACATTCTGAAATTACAAAAAAAAATCCATGTATTAAAAACTGCTCTGTAACAGACTGCGCGCAGCAGAGGGGCACCCAGCACGCGCGTGGCACGCGCGCGCTCGGCGGGTGCTCTCGCGCGCGCGGCCGCCGGCGGAGGGCGGCGCGCCCACAGGGAGGGAGTGCAGAAGGGGGGCGGGCCTTCTTCACTGGGAGCAGCGCAAGAGACTGGGGGTCGCCTGCGCCGACCTCGGCGCGCGAGCTGTCCGCGCAGGGTCGCACGTGGGCGCCCTCGCCTCCAAGGCAGCGGGCCGCGCCTGCGGCCCGCGTGAGCCACCGCGTCGGGTCGCTGCGGCATCTCGCGCCCGGCGTCCCTCGGGGCCTCTTGGGGGGGGCCTCTCGGGGAGCTGGGGCCTCTCGGGGAGCCTCTGTGGGGGTCCCTGGCGCCTCTCGGGGGCCGTTTGGGGCCCCCTTGGGCCGTCTTGGGCTTGGGCGCCTCTTGGGCCTTCTTGGGGCCCTCTTGGGCCGTCGTGGGGGCCTCGCTCACTTTTCAGACTCCTCCGAATGGCCCCCGGGCCTTCCGAGAACTTTTGCGGCCAATGGGAAGCCAACGGGAAGCGAAAAAGGCTCAGAGAGCTTCGTGCTTTCTGGGCCCTGTTTCGAAGCTGCAGATGGCATCCCGTTGGCTGGGGGGGGCTTCTGGGGAGCCCCGCCCCTTCTCCGCGAGAAGGCCGGCACGCTCTGACGCTGCCCCGTGGCCCCGCGTGGGTAGCACACTCGGCCCTCCCGCGGCCCTTCGGGACGCTCCTGGGCACCCCCGGGAGGGTTGACTTCAGTCGGGCCTGCCCCTCTGCGGGAGGAGCGCTTCCGCAATAGTTTAAAAAAGATAGTCCGTGGGCGATCCTTTTCAATTGCCATGCTTGATTTGCTTCCCTCTTTTCGGTATTGTTTGGCCATCTTGTGTTTTCCGCCCAGAAGCCGCAGGCAGGGGGACACGCCCGGCCCGAAGGGGTTGTCGGGCGAGGCGCAGCCGCCGGAAGGCACCCCGGAGGCTCGGCACAACCGCAGGGGGCCGACGAGGGCGCCCGAGAACGCCTCGACAGCCTCGATTTCGGTCGGGCCTGTCCCCCTAGAGGGGGATTTTCGACGAAAGTTTAAGATACCCCAGACATAGTCAAAAAAATATATTCCAGAAATAGTCTGGGGACCATTTTGGGGGTCTTTTTTGGGGGTCTTTTTGATGTTTCATCGAAAATCCCCCTGTATGGGGGACAGGCCCGACATAAACCTCGATCTCCGCCCCGTCCTCCCCAGACCTCCCCGCGTGAAAAAATCACCACGGCAGGTCTTTCGCAGTTTTCGGCCTCTGGGGGCCCTTCCCGGGCCTCGGGGCTGTCAACAGAACGACCAGGATGAGAAGCCGCTCCCGGGGAATGTGGTTGACCCATAAGGGGGTCCAGTTGAAAGGGGGGGTTGCAATGGTTAGATTCGGTGCAATACATTTGTGAGGTTGCAATACATTTGGGGCATGCAATACACTGCGAGGCGCAATTGTATTATTGGATTTTCGCGTGCAACGCATTGCTTGCAATGCAATGCAACACAATTCTCATGCGCAATACGTTTGCAACGCCCCAAATCTATTGCACCACCCCCTTTCAGCTGGACCCCCTTTTGGGTCACTCAAGGGGAAGGGGTCCAGACCTCTGGAGGTCGACGTTGCGAAACAATCGCGACGTCGGGGGTCTGGCCCCCTCGGCGCGCTGCCGACACAGGGGTGTGCCCCGAAGGCGCCTGTGTCCCTCCCCCTCTCCCCCTCCTCTCCTCCTTCTCCTCTTCCTCCTCCTCCTCCTCCTCCTCCTCTTCCTCCTGTTCCTCCCTCCTCCTCCCTCCGCCCTCTCTCCTCCTCCCCTTCCTCTCCTCCCCGGTGGTGTCGATGCGTTCTGTACTTGCTTCGCACCGCCCTACTCCGTGCTCCAGGCTTCTGCGCTCGGCGCTCTGACGTCGTGCGGAGTGGATTGGCACCGTTTGTGAAACCGTCATTGCCACCAGCCCGCGGATCTGGCCCACAGTGCTTCGGCGCGACATGCTATGCACGTCCGAGTTTACAGGCGTCCACGTCCCGAGCTTTGCCGAGCCTCCCGCCCCGCGGAGCGGAGCGACACACTACCCGCTCGCAG